TTTTTTAAAATTTATGACGTCACCGGGAATAGACCAATAGGAGCTAGCGCACAACGTTGCCGGCTAGAAGGTTTACGAGAAGTGATGTACGTTCGTTTGTGTACTCCTTCTTACTTTTAGACTTCTAAAACATCGTTAAACAAATATCTTTTAAATATATAATATCAAATGTTTTTTGAAAGTATTATTTCTGTTTAAACTTTTACCATATTTAAAGTTTCATTGTTTTAAAAGTCACTTAATAATTCAGAAAATGGCAAAATGGCAGCACTGTGTATGGCATCTGTCATCGTAGTGTCTCCATCAAGAATTTATTTGGAATTTGATTGTTTAATTTTGTACTTTTTATAAATATTATGACTACGAAAAAGTGTTTTGTTCCAGAATGTGATAATGATTCACATTCATCTTCAAAAATATTTATTAGTGTTCCTAGAAATTTGGAAAGAAGAAAATCAACCTTCTACTAGCGATGTTTCTCGTGAACTTTTTAATAAAAATACACCGGATTATCAAGATGTAGCAGCAATTTCTGCTAATTGTCCCCTTCAGGAAATTGAAAATAAGGCTACTATAAATTCTTAGGTGTATAACCTAAAAACCCTTCTGGAAGAAAATGCAGAATCTCCTGAAAGTTTTGAAGATACCGAATTTATTCATCATTTTGTGGAAGAACTAGTGATAAAGAAATAATGGAAAAATGTGGGTATTTAAACAAACTGGTTCCTGGATCCCATATAATGGCAGATAGGGGTTTCAGAATAATCAGCTACTTGAAAACATGGGATACACTTTAGTAAAGCCACACAAAAACTTCTCCAGAAGATGTACAATTAAGTAAAAGAATAGCATCTCTAAGAATACATGTGGAAAGAGTTATAAGAAGGGTTAGTTAATTTAACATGTTAAAACCACATTCGTGTGTGAATTTTAAGCAAGTACATTTACTTAGTAATATCTGCATAATTGCTTGTTAACTTACAAGAACCTATTTTGTAAGAGTAAATATTAATTTAATAAACTTTTTTGTTTGTTTTTTAATTTAATTTACCTAATTATCACATTTCAGGGATTATAATGAGTTTTTAAACAGCCAATGTAATTTTTGATAAAAATTTAACTTTTCGAGCAAATCGAAGAGGAATGAGTACCTGTATATGCATAGATTTTTTTGGGACTAAAACTACCAAAACAAAGGCACCTATTTACAGCAGTTTAAAATGAAACATTTTAACAAAAACGCCTATGTCACAGTGATAAATATTAAAAACCAAGTTCAGTTGAATGTGGTAGCAAAGTCTATATATTCCAATAAATCGGGTAACTACATGTGGTATCACTGGTGATAAATTTAAAAATATCACAATTCTTGCCACCTTTTTCAAAAAACCAGAGTGTGCCTTCTTATGAAAATGACAACAGTGATAAATGTGAAAAAAAAATTTCATGTTGCTATTCGTTATTACGATAGTAAAACATGTTTGCAGTTCCGTTAATTTTTTATGAAAATCTAAGTAAAAACAACCAATGTCAAAGGGTTTTAATTTTTTTTCTGTCAAACCAAATATATCACAAAATTAAAAATTGATCATAGGTCAAGCTAAAGTAATACCTTTATTAATAGTAGCTTTAAAAAAGGAGAAAGAATAATATTGACTTAAGTTATTATTATTAACATTGGTGATTTTTAATAAAAACTTCAATTATTGTTTACAAACAAAAATATAAAAATCTGTGAAAATTTTATTTATTAACCTTTTAATAAAAAATGAGAAAAATGAAGTAAAAAACAATTTATTTACAAATAAAAAATATATACAAATTCTAAGAATATAAAAGTACTGATTTATTTTCCTGTAGTGGATGAAGAGGTTTCTTTAACAATCTAGCCAAGTGTACATCATTATCAATAACACTGAGTAGATGTTACAGATGGTTCCTCACTTCTTCTATGAAGCCACATGTTTACAACCTCCTGAAAAAATAAAAGGGTTAGATATGCAGTTACAAAATAACTATATAACCAGCTACAAAATGCCTTATTTTATGTAACAAGACGAGCACTTTACTAGCTCTGAACGAATCCAGTAAAGAACCTCTGATTTTCAAAACTTAAAAAAAACAAGCTCACCACATTTTCACATTTTTGAAATATTATAGAGTTTTTCGAAAAAAACTGCTATTTTTAAAAGTACAATTTTTGTTTAAACAGCTATGTCTCATTTTAGGCTATTGAGTATTATAAAATAAAAAATTACGGGATGCTTTGTTAGCTTCAAACGAATCCAGCAGAGCACCCCAGTTTTTTTTTTTAAACCACACCACATTTTTTGGCTCCTACAATATTATAAAATATTCGAAATTTGACATTTTTAAAAAAAATTCGCAATTCCTTGCTGACTTCAAAGTTTTTTTTCTGAAAACAAATATACTTACCACATTTTTAGGATTTTAAAACAGCCTAAACATGTGTCATAAGTAGTTGTTTTTATATATTAAAAAACTGAAGTGTCCTGCTGACTTTGTTCCAACAAAGCACCCTGTATTATTTAAAAATAGCAATTTTTTTAGTAAAGTTTTACAATATTTCAAGAGTCTAAAAATGGAGTGTGGTTTTTAGAAAAAAGCTTTAAAAAACCGAATTGCTCTGCTGGCTTCTTTCGAAGGTTAGCAAGCACCATGTATTTTTTAAAAATATAATATTTCAAGTGCATAAATATATGGTGTTGCTGTTTTTACAGAAAAAACTTTATAAAACAGAGGTGCTTTGCTGACTTCGTTCGAAGCTATCAGAGCATTTTAAGTTTTGCATAAAACGAGGAGCATAAAATTTTTGAAAAGGGTATAAAAATAGCCTAAAAATATGGCATGTTTTAACTCAAAATTTCATAGGTGCTCTGCAGCATTCTTTGGTATCATAATTATTACTAGGTTCACTAACAAAATCTATTTCTAGATTATTTTAACACTTGCTGCGATTACAAAAAATGTCTCTTTATGTCAAAATTAGAAAAAAAATATTTATAAGAATAAAGGGCCTTATACACTGTTTATTATATGTGATATAAAAACAAAAAAGCATAATAAATATTACAAACCTTGAGATTCAACATATCCTAAGCATTGTGCACTAAAAAACAGCCACATCATAAGGTTTTTGCTGTACTTTATGTTTAGGTGTAATTTGTCTCTTATGGAAAAAGTAAATATCTCCATATTCTTGCTTGGCAGATCTAAAAATAAAACCTGAGATAAATATGTTTTACTATAAAGTGTACTGCTTCATATAAACTGTAACTACCTACCATTAAAACAATTTATAAATAAAGTTTTACCTTTCTATCTTTTGAAAACTGAGTATTGTTAAAAAATGCAGTAATCATCTCGGTAATCATATTTTCGTTTACAATGGGAAAAATACTTGATTCAACTTTTATAAATACAGCTGATAAATTCATATTCTTCTTCCTTTATATATCCTATATCCCACAGGATAATTTACCCAGATAAATTCAGATTAATAATAAAATTAAACCAAAACAAAAAACTAAGGTTAGTTGTTATAGGTGCTGTCAATTTTTAATGTCACTTAGATGTGCGTTCACTTCGACATTCTGTATGTAGGTTTGTTCGTTGGCTTGGTTTTGTAAAACAAAAAAAACTTCGACACAAGCTGATTGGTCTATTCCCGATGACGTATAATTTCAAATTTTAAATTTCAATTGGGCTTAATTTAAAAACTTTTAGCTTTTTTAACGAACTGATTATTTAGAATAACTTGTATAGCGACTAACTATTACAATATAGTTTATAAAACAGCATATCTCACATGTGAACATGGCCCATTGATTTACTTTTCTAAAAAATGTGTATTCTTATGGCTAGATGCATATCTAGGAGCACGTGGTAAAAATTCTTTAATTACATGATCGGGAGCGACGTGGCAAGGAATGCCGTAAACTCAACACCAATTACTTCAACGTCTCAGTGACAACTGGTAAAAATATAAACCGCTCTCGTTTCTGCATAATAGGTTGCCAAATATAGTAATTCGAGCATAGCTAGACGGAAAATGAGCTGCCATTAACAATTTTTGCGGAATTTAAATTATTAAAAGAGCGGCACAAAGTGCCATAGCGCGCCTGCCCGAGGTTTAAGTTTGCAACGTGTTCATCAAATTTTAGTTGATTATCGATGTAGAGGTTTAAAAATTTCGATAAAGCAAGTATCTTTACGTCAAAAAAAATACGGGTGGGTTAAAAGGTACCCAACCCCCCAACTTTTTTTAAAGGGGTCGCTTTAAATTTTTTTCTCCTTAAAATATTGAGTCTTCAAATCTACAGCACTAGCAAAAAATTCAAATAAAAAATCGCAACAGCAAACTTTTTACAAAAAAAAAACTTTTTTTTTTAATGTTAGTTTAACGCCCTGTAACTTTGTTAGGAGCCAGTTTTTGATATAGGTAAATATAGCCAAATCCACTTATTTTTTGGTAATCTATACGAGGAAGAATTTATGACATACCTTTTTGAAACACCCTGTATATTTTGTTGTATCAGCTTTTAATAGCACAAACTTGTCTTGCTTTTCTTCCACTCATAGTTGTTCTTAACTTCAAACACAAACAACTCCAAATACCTTGACACCGAACAAACAAATCCTCAAATATACCCGGGAAGGCTGAGATAGAGCAATGCACGTAGAGATCGGCACAAACCGTTCCCGCCATCTAAGTGTCTGAGCTGGTTGTCATGGTAAGTTGTGATTTAAGTTTTGAGAAATCAAGGATGTCTTGGAAATTTTCAAAAAACCAGTTTTTCTCTAGAGTAAAGTTCCTTTTATGTTGCAGATGACCAAAAGTTATTAAGAAAAGTTGTTTATAATCACCATCTAGGTCCATATATAAAATTTGAAAATCCTTGGATAATTCAAGTTACATTTTTCTCTAACAAAATTAAATTAGGTTTATAAAGTAATAAAATGTTTATCAATTTGTTTAGGACGAACTGCATTTATTGGAATTGGCTTTGGTGATAGATCAGACTCCTTTGACTTAAATGTAGCTCTTCAGGATCACTTCAAATGGATCAAGAAAGAAAAACAAATTAGTGAAGAGCCAGCAACAGGTCCTGGGTTGGATCTGGGTTTCAAAGAAGGTGAAACTATAAAGATTAATATGAAAATAACTAAAAAAGATGGATCTGAAGGAAGTTCAAGAAGCAGGGTGCAGGGAGCTACTGGTGGAGGCCTAGGTCTTTTACCACCTCCTCCAGGGGGTAAATTACCTGCTCCACCAAGTATTTCACCTGCTGTATCACCTTCTCATGCTGCAAAGCCGGCTAGTGGAGGTGGGGAATCTTGGAGCGAATTTAAATCTGCTGATTCTAGGTATGCATGTTTTTTTAATAGTAGTTTACATTATAAGCCCATTACTTAGATCTTTACATGCGAGCACGTAGATAACAGGTCACTGGCATGTAACGTATAACGTTTTATGATATACTGCAATTTAATACGTTTTACGCCTAAAATCAAATAAAATTACAAGTTTCCGAATGTGACTTAAAATAATAACAGTTCAGTTACAACTGACAGTTCAGTCATAACCGTTGTAAGAATTTTTACCGGGCCTGTCGTTATGACTCGAACAACCATAAACCGAGGTTGGTTACCACAGTATAACATTGCAATATATCATAAAAGCTATAATAGGCAAATCTGTTAATTTAATTTCCACAAAAATTGTTATTTTTAAATTAATTAAATTAATTAAATTAATTAAATTAATTAAATTAATTAAATTAATTAAATTAATTAAATTAATTAAATTAATTAAATTAATTAAATTAATTAAATTAATTAAATTAATTAAATTAATTAAATTAATTAAATTAATTAAATTAATTAAATTAATTAAATTAATTAAATTAATTAAATTAATTAAATTAATTAAATTAATTAAATTAATTAAATTAATTAAATTAATTAAATTAATTTAATTAATTTAATTAATTTAATTAATTTAATTAATTAAATTAATTAAATTAATTAAATTAATTAAATTAATTAAATTAATTAAATTAATTAAATTAATTAAATTAATTAAATTAATTAAATTAATTAAATTAATTAAATTAATTAAATTAATTAAATTAATTAAATTAATTAAATTAATTAAATTAATTAAATTAATTAAATTAATTAAATTAATTAAATTAATTAAATTAATTAAATTAATTAAATTAATTAAATTAATTAAATTAATTAAATTAATTAAATTAATTAAATTAATTAAATTAATTAAATTAATTAAATTAATTAAATTAATTAAATTAATTAAATTAATTAAATTAATTAAATTAATTAAATTAATTAAATTAATTAAATTAATTAAATTAATTAAATTAATTAAATTAATTAAATTAATTAAATTAATTAAATTAATTGAATTAATTAAATTAATTAAATTAATTAAATTAATTAAATTAATTAAATTAATTAAATTAATTAAATTAATTAAATTAATTAAATTAATTAAATTAATTAAATTAAATTAATTAAATTAATTAAATTAATTAAATTAATTAAATTAATTAAATTAATTAAATTAATTAAATTAATTAAATTAATTAAATTAATTAAATTAATTAAATTAATTAAATTAATTAAATTAATTAAATTAATTAAATTAATTAAATTAATTAAATTAATTAAATTAATTAAATTAATTAAATTAATTAAATTAATTAAATTAATTAAATTAATTAAATTAATTAAATTAATTAAATTAATTAAATTAATTAAATTAATTAAATTAATTAAATTAATTAAATTAATTAAATTAATTAAATTAATTAAATTAATTAAATTAATTAAATTAATTAAATTAATTAAATTAATTAAATTAATTAAATTAATTAAATTAATTAAATTAATTAAATTAATTAAATTAATTAAATTAATTAAATTAATTAAATCAGTTATTTGAAAAAGGGCACATATACTTAACTCTCAATTTTACAGTAGAAAGGAAAAATATTTTTAAATCAAAATGCTTGTACGTAATGGTTATGTACCATTTATGAAACCAGTTGTGAAATGCCTTATTTTATGTAACGAGTGAATATTTTCGGGACGAGCAGAGCGAGGTCCCGCAACATGAACGAGTTACATAAAACGGCATTTCGTAACGTATATAAATTTGACTAAAATTGGCAATCACTATTATTTTATTGTATTGTCAGTTGCATATGCATCATTTTATTGACTATTAGAACACGATTAGAACATCGTTATTATTTATTCTCAACGACTTGCAGTGTGTTTATATTGTTTATTCAAGTTATTTAGTTTTCAAAAAGTAAATTATTTTGTCGTGCATTGTGTTTTAATTATTTTGTGATGATTTGGACTGGAAAATAAGGACCAAAACAATATTACTAGGTTGTAAGTTTAACCAAATTCTATTTTTAGAAGTGAAACTGTTCTTTGATATAAACTTTCAATAAGTAATGTATTCGAACTTGGCGTCCAAATTTGTAGGGGTGGTAGTTCGCATAATTTGAGAGCGATTGGCAGATTTCATTTTTCTAAAAAATTATAATAAACAAAATAGAGGCATTATAAAAAAAATCAAAGAGCAGGTCCTACCCTAAGCGCGTAGCGCAATCGTCCTCAAAAACAGATGCGATTTGCAATTTGGTCGATTCTAAGCGTAGCGCGCGCGTACCTGTTTATAATTTTTAATTATTTTTATTTTAAATAGTTTGTAAAAATGAAATCTGCGAATCGGTCTCAAATTATGCGAACTACCACCCCTACAAATTTGGACGCAAAGTTTTAAAACCAAAAAAGGTTTATTTTTAATAATTTAATTGACATTAATGCTAGAATTATAAAAATCTCATTAAATGTTTCTTTTTGCTTTTTTCAGCGCCCCCGAAAATCCTTCAACAAATAGCAACTGGGTGCAGTTCTAAAAATCTTGCATCTTCTGTAAACCATTCTAAGTAGTTATATTTAACTACATATTCCTAGCAGTAGGTATTATCTGTATTTCCTACCTAAGAGTGACAACGGGAAAATGAATGTATTGAGTTAATATTGATAGATATTATGTTAAAATGCTTAGGTTAAATAATTTAAATAGATGACCTATTTTATTATTATTGTTAAACGTTTTTCAAATAAAAATTGCTCATAAATAAACCCTGATTCAGTTCTTTGTATTAAATTTTTTTACAAATTTTAAAATATATTTATTACTAAATTTTCATAAAAAAAGTTACATAAATGTTATCTGCTTTTGTAAATGTAAATAGGGTTTAATAATTTGCACGACTGAAATCAGGGATTCAGTTATTTTAGTTCTAATGTACAGACCTGTGAAACTTTAAGTGCACACTATAATGCATTAATTTTTTTACTGTGTTGTAAGTTAAAAATACATTTTGATTTGCACCAATTTGCTCAGCTTTCAGTGTTTAATATATGAATAAGCATTGTTTAAAATAACATGTAATTTTAGTCACATATCAGAATATTTTTATATGTTTAGCAAAATGTCAGTCTTCCTCACTTTTTTTAAACATATTTTTTTCCTATAAAATTGGAATATATAATGCTAGTATACCCAATCTGTATTGTTTAAATATAAATGGCAGTTTTGGCAGCTTATAATAGAGTTCTGGTTCAATAAGTGATTGTTCTTTAACTCATTCAAATAATTCTTCGAAAGAATGAATTCTAAATGTTAGTGTTCTAGAACGAATATAAATATTAAAAATCAAATTATATGATTTAAGAAAAAATGTGTTCAATTCATCAAAAACTAATAAAAAATATACTTAGATGTTTTCTTAAATATTTAAGAATATTGCATGAATCCCTGAATGAAAACAAATATCTAAGCACACTTTTAACTTTTAAAAATCCGTTTTAGATATATATCTATTTATAATAGCTATTTGTGTATTAAGAGCAGAAAGTAGCACTTTGGGAGTTGAGACAGTGAGTTGCCATCCGACGCGTTAGCAGAGCGCGGCAATCTGTTGAAACTGCCAGAAGACTTTCTGCTCGAATTACACACAAGATTTTTTCTACGATCACACCAAAATAAAATAAATAATTTTATTTTATTAGAAATGGGTTTACTTCTTTCGTTATAATAATGTAAGATTATTTTGACATGAGCCTAGTCTTCGAAGAGAAAAAAATGTTTTAGTACTTACATGTCGGTAATTATTTATGATTTAACCATTTAATTATTTACGGAAAATATTATGAAGTCAATTAAAATATTTTAGATTAGCCTACATTTTCTATTAAAATACCAATTAGCTTTCTTTTATTTAAATCAAATTAAAACAAACAAGCATGTGCCAATAATGTAAAATTATGACAATTCATGGAAAACTTCAACTTTTTAGTTAGATTTGTATGTGCAAAAGCCTACTTTGGATAGTGATCGTAGAAAAATATATTTGTTCATACTTATATACATTATTAGAAACAAAATATTTACCATTTATAATGATGAGGGACAATCGCACAGTAGAAAACTTGTCGACGGGAGTGCTAATGAAAGGCGTTTATTTTTAATTTTCCCAATATATTTTCTTCTATGTTATCTTTTAAATTCGTTTTCGTCAAAGTTGCTACGAAAATAAAACAATTCATTAAAAACATTACCCAAATATAAAATTATGGTCAAGATATGGATCACTTGCACTGGATGTCCACGTGTCCAAATAAAAGGATGCCAGCAACAGCCTGTGTTTCAGAAACTATTATAAAATTTTGAATAATAATTTTTAAATAAATAGTGGTTAGGAGGAATCACTGGAAAATATATTTGAGTATCTAACTTTACCATTTAATGCTTAGATATATAGATTTTAGTCACTATTTTTATACACACATATTTATAGCACTTCAGAAAGCATTTAAACTATTGAATACTGAAAATAATAAGAGTAAGTAAAAAATTGAAACCTAACTCCATATATCCATATGGACTGAAAATGAGGAAGAAAAACTTTTTTATTTTCACATTTTCGACAAAATGTTATTCTTTATTACAGTTTTTGCTTGTCTTAAAACTAATATCTAATCCAAATGTCCCATTAGTGTGTAATTGTTTAATATTTTAATTTTATGTTATAGACCCGCAAACAAGTTTAAAAAAAAGTTATATGGATTTGAAAAGTACATATTTTAAAAATATTTTTGGATATATAGGGTGTTGCATTTTTGCCTGGTAAATAATTTTTTTTTTAAGTAGAACACCTTGTATTTTATTTCATTTTTAGAATGGATTACTATTACTATATTCAATCCTAGATTTTCTTTCAAGCAATTATTTTTTTTTAAATTAGAGAATGGATGCAGACCCCAAATTAAATTATCATAATTTAGGTAGATTTACATTGATTTCAAAATTGTTTAATGTACAGACTTGTAAGATACTAAGCTAACGAATAGTAGTGATAGAACTAGTTTATTTTATATATAGAGTGTTTTGAAATATGTCCTTAATATGGCTAATTATGAGTTCAATTTACTAAATTTTTTCAAATGCAACACCCTATATATTATTTTAGCATCAAATTTCTGATAAATTTGCCTTTCCAACGATACCAATATGTTAGCCAATAACACATATCTCATCAGTGCGTAATTGATCGATAGTCGTTTTATTATTGGAAATTCTAGAGACGCTAAAATGGTGGTTTCCCCCTTATCGAGACTGAGGCCCACAAGGGTAAACTCAGCGTAAAAAAACGAGAAATAATTTAACTTTGACTGAATGATCAAAAGCCAATAGTAGTATTAAGACGTTGAATTTTCTGGTTTGTGAAGCATTGGCATTACTTAGGTCAAACCATGTGAGGATTTTGACAAACCTTAATTTTTAAAACCATTCTATATTGCCTTTTGATTAGAATTTACAAACTTGTTCGAGTAATTTATCCAATAATAATTGGCCTCTTTACCTCTTAATCCTGCTCATATAAAATATTTGGGCTCCTCACTTCGCCTATTTATCTAAAAATATTTGGTCTCTTTTAAATATGTTTATGTAAAATTATATGATCCCATTACTTCCTTAGATCTGTTCAAGTAGTAGGTAATACTGTAAATACTATGGCCATGTTATCTAAACATTTTTTTTTAATTCAGAAATATTGAGAAAATTGAAATGTTAAGGTATAAGTCGAAATTTATATACAGAGTGTACAAAAAGTAACGTAATATACTAATATTTAAATAGGTTTGCAAAACAATTTTGAATAAAATTTTATGAAACGAGTCAAATTCGCGCGAATTTCGAAACGTCGGCCGAGCGCACTCGCTTCGCTCGCCCTCCTCTGTATTGGTTAGGAGGTGGGTGGGAGGAGCGTATCGTGATCTTATGGAAACCCTTGTCATGATAACGAATAAACAAATCCTGTAGTGAGAAAATGACTAGTTGCCAAGTTATAGATGGTTTTATTTTCACTTTAGTTTAGATTAAGAGTTAATCTAAATATAAGAGGCAACTGCGCATTTCCTCACTATCGGATTTAGGTTTTTGTTTAGTCGACATCACGACTTAGACAGCACAAATAGGTCCATTGGACGTCCATTCAATATACAATTTTGGATGCCTGGACGTCCAATGATGAGTTTTTTCTGGACTTCCGGACTTCATAGGACGTCCAATTCTGGATTATATTTTGACTTTCAATACTCGACATTCAAAAAACGTCCATTCCTGGATTATATATTCCACACACACTATTTTATAATATTAATAATTTATTTATTTTTTTCGCAACCCGCTATACACCATTTATTATTTTTTTTTATTAAAAAGGTATCGAACTCACGACACGTCCATTATCTTTCTGGGCATTCAAACGCTAGGCGACCTCGACCAAGAAGCCACTTGAAAAATTTTTACTAGATACGGTTATAATAAAATAAGATTTCAAACTTAATATAGAATAAAATGTAATAGATTAAATTTGTCAATTTTTAATGACCAGTTCTATTAAAAATATATATAGATGGTATTATCTGGTAGGTAAATAATGACCGAAGATGGGCGTCCACTGGACGTCCACGTGACGTCAAAATAATACTAAACTTAAAATTAAGTCCAAAAACAGACTTCCTCTGGACATCGATATGCAGCTTTCAAATTAATGATAATAAACGGACGTACACCGAATACGGATATGGACGTTCTGGCCCTCAAATGGATCTAAAGTGGACGTCCTTTGGACGATGTGTGTTGTCTGGGGACAAACGTTCTTGTTTAGTCGTTACCATGGGAAGTATCTATATGGCAAAAGTTCCTCCGTAACTGATTACAGCTAAATTAACTCATCTGTAACTTGGCAACCACACATTTCCCCACCACGGGATTTGGTTTTTTGTTTAGTCATTACTATGTCAAGCGTTCCCATGGCAACAGTTTCACCATAACTGATTTCGTCTAAAATTAAGTGAACATTAAATGATCTATAACTTGGCAACTATGCATTTCCTCATTTGGGTTTGTTTTTACTGGTTACTATGGCAACGGTTGCTATGGCAATAATTTTTACGTAACTGATTTCGGCTAAACGAAATTTGACCTCAAATTCCGTTTAGAAATCCCCAAGCTTAAATTAAATTTGACATGCCATTATATAAAAGTTTACCACGGTATGTGTCGCGCCACCACAGTAACCACAATACTGTAACCAAGTATGTTGTGGTAAGCTTATAAAGAAATGCCTTAAAAGTATCCACCGAGTGATGTCACAGTTAACCTAACACAAATTGAACTAATTCAGCTATCCTCTTGTTGATAGTACTCTTTTAACTTGGCTGGCTAGCGTCATTTATCAAACAAATAAATTCACTTGATTCAAAAAAGTTTTAAAAACTTTTGGATAACACAAACTAATTATGTTTAAAAGTTTTTGAAAAGTACATTGTTTATTTCTTTATAGATGACGTGATATTAATATTTAAAAATTATGTAGTACAACAATTCAATCAAAATGGATAAATAAATCATCGGGTCTGACCGAAAATAAATTAATAGAAGAGTATGGAAATGTTATGTTAAAAATAAGGTATTTTTTATATATCTTTTTTGCTGATTTTAATTTGACACTTTGCAACATCGCGTTAAGTTGTATTGACAGCATGACAGATATAATTCTAAATTCTAATGAATGTTTGGAATGCTAGGAATGTTAGACGTTAGGAATGATAGGAATGCGTAAAATAAGTGACATAAGAAATGCATGGGCGGATTTTAAGAACATTGATATTAAACTAAGGATAAACCGAAAATTCTGAAAATTAATAGGGTTCTAAGTTAGAAGCAATTATTTAAGAAAATCAAAACCGCAAGTCAATCAGAACTTTCGTTCTGGAGTTATCGTGCCGGCATACATACACACAGACGACCAGACAAATTTTTTTTTGCATTTTCGGACTCGTGAAAAAAAAGATTTAAAAATAGGGGTAAGAAAATTTTTTCGTCTGCACGAATGAAATACTGAGGCTTTTTTAATATAAAAGTTGTATAACCATATTTAACGATTGTCCTTAAATATATAGGGTAATCCTTAAACGAGGTGCTGACCAAAGCTATACTTTTTTAAAACAAAACATCCTACAGGTATACATATTTGATTGTTTTCACATTGTCAAACAATTTTAATTAAATTCATTCATTTACTATGTTGTATATAGGGTGTGTTAAAACGTGAGGTTACGATTTTCTAAATTTTTTAAATGGAATACCCGGTATTAATTAATTGGTGGCATACCATACAGGGTATTTCATTTAAAAAAATTTAGAAAATCTCGCATTTTTGACACCCTATATAAAACATAGCAAATAAATGAAGACTATTGAAATTGTTTGACGATGTGTTTTGCTTTAAAAATGTATAGGTTTGGTCAGCCCCTTCCCAACTAGCAAAGTAGCTTTATAATTTTGAGTTTACAATACTATAATGTTTTATTGATATTATAATTTGATATACTAAAATTGCAGAAACCACTATTATGTTCTCTGAAACTAAATTGCTATGTAAATTAGTTTTTACAACTTTCATACAGCAAAATTATAAAATAGTTATCAGGATAACTATAAAATTATTACATAAACATTTATGCAACTATTCCATATAACATTCTCAGCTAATAAAATTAAATTGTGATTCTATATTGTTGCTTTGGATCAACTTTACAACTCTGGTTATACAAATACAAGTGTTTCATATGCCCATAATAACGCTTTAAAAAATAGTTAAATAAATATTAAGCAATTTGCTTCTGATGGAAATTCTAAAATATCTGTAATGTAGTGTCGAAATACACTTCTGCAAATCAAAAAACTATATAGAGCTATTATAAATCAATAATTTTACTTAAGAATAGTATTATCCCTTTAAAAATATAAAAAAAATTAAAGCAACTATATTTGGTAGTACCTACACCATATTATTTTGTATTTTAGATTTGTTTAACCACTGCCCATACCATTTGTATGTGAGTATACGTCTGAAAATTTCAGATTTAAATAAGTGAAGCAATATAAAAAATAAGTGGTACCGGCTTTTCAGAGAATAGTAAAAACATTTTGCTGTTTTGTCTAGACAATAAAAAAAAAGTATAATTTAGCAACATAATTATGTTCTGAATAATCATGCCTCAATACTTAAAGAAAGCCATATTTCTGGCGATGTCTATGTTAAACTTGCTTATTCTAGGCAATATTATAAATTAGGCTTGCTGATTAAAGCTAAATCTACTGTCGATTTTACTAGTTTATGAGACAAAACCAATGTTATTCAAAGATTTTTATCATTTGTAATATTAGCATAATCTTATTACTAAAAAATCCATTTGCATAAATTTAGTTTTTGTTTCACACTGAAAAAATATTAGAAATATGAATCAAACTCGAGGCGCTTAAAAATTTATGTGTGCTATACAATTAACAGTAATTCTTGCTGCGCATCCAAAAACGACTCTATACATTATGTCCAAACCGCTTTATAGATATCTCTTAGGTAGGTACTGCCATTTTACTATTATCGCCTCGAATTGATCTTTTATGACAAATCTATAATTATTTTCTTTTTACCAGATACATTTAAAAAACTAAAATGTTACTGATTTTGATATACAACATAACCTCAAATTTTAAAATGTATAAAACAGTTATTAAAGCTCAAAAAACATTTGTTTAAATGTGTAGTAACTGTCCGGTAACTCCATTCAACAATTCTTATACAATTTACCAATGAACCAAATAGTTCTGTAATACTGCACCCATTCTGTGTTTATTACTGTTGAAAGATTGTTCCGGAAATGTTCTTAGCTAATATTTTGTTTTATAAATTTTGTTCTGTAATCATTTTTTCAGCATTTATAAAATATCAAATTGTTATTTGTGTCGTTTATGGACCACCCTCTATATTTAAGAATAATGATTAAATATGGTCATACAACTTTTATATTAAAAATTGCTTCGTATTTCCAATAATAAAACGGCTATCAATCAATTACTCCCTGATCGTATATGTGTTATTCGCTAACATGTTGGTATCGTTGAATAGTTAAATTTATAACGAATTTTATGCTAAAATAATATAAAAATTGAGTAAATTGAACTTAAAATTGGCCATATATAAGACACGTTTCAAAATACTATAAAATATTCCAGTTCTATCACTACTATTCGTTAGCTTACTATCTTATAAGTCTGTACTTCAAACATTGTTTAAATCATTGTAAACCTACCTTAATTATGATAATTTAATTAGGGGTCTGCATAGTTCTCCAATTTCATAAAAAAATTAATTGCTTGGCAACCCTGTAATGTTTTAAAAAAAATAAGGTTGAATACAGTATTACCAAATCATTTTAAAACTGAAATAAAATACACCCTGTAGAAGTTGAATATATCTTTGCTTTAATGAAATAATGACAAAAACGTAAAAAAAAAACACTTTTTTTTGGAATTAATTATTTTACCAATGCCTAGAGATATTCAACTTGTTTGAATCATTATTATTAGTTTTGAAATAAGTAAAAACTTTTATGAAAAATAATATTTCCTCTAAAAGTTGAAAATAAAAAGTTTTCGTTTTTTTTCAGTCCATCCATATTTATATTAGCTCATGTTACATAATTATTCAAGTGAATACGAGTGAAGTAATAATCTTAGAATAAAGAGACCAGATATGTAACACACCGGTGTTTAACATGCGCGAATGTTACCAATTTCTAAAGAAAGGTTAACGGAGAGGGGGAATTGGGAGGAGACCCGAACTCTGTGGCAGGGACGGACTTGATTTAATGGAATGTGTTGTATTATGAAATTAAATTAACGTGATTTTTTAATATCAAACAAATGCAACGACATTTTATGTAAAGAGAAGACAAAAGTTCTTTTATAGAATATTTCGTTAGCGTCTATTTACACGGACTTTTTTGCAAGAGACTACAATAAAATGTTGAAATAGAATATTGTTGATCGAGCAAGGAATGGTACTCATTGCCTACGAGTATAAGAATGGCTTCATGAAAATTTTTTGTGAGTTGAACATTGTTTTTTCTACGACTATTAATATTAAAAATTGGTCAAAATAAGAAAATGCCGTTTTGTATTTTAAACGCATATTAAATTTTTTTTATGAATTTATGAATCGTATTTCCTTTATAATCGATTATTTGATTATCTTTGAAAAATCTAAACTAATCAATTAATTAGAGAAAGCCAATTAACCAATAAATCGATTTTTCTAAAAAATAACCGAATTGTCGAATATTTTAAATAAGCGATTGTTTTCGATCAATCGATTATTGTCAAATAATTTATTAGATTATAACAGTTGATTAACATAGAATAAACTTAAACTAAAAAATAACCGAATTATCGATTATTTTAAATAATCGTAAATTTTCGATCAATCGATTATTTTTAATTAATCTATTTTCTTTTCGTATAGCCTTTAAAATCGATTATTCTATTGTCTTTGAAAAATTTAAAATAATTGATCAAAAATAATTGATCGAAAATTATTGATTAATCGAAAATAACCGATTAAAAACTGATTGACCCATAAATCGATTTTTCTAAAAAATAACTGAATTATCCAGCCGTGTTCACTTAAGGTACATGCCAATGGAAGTGGCTAATTTACAAATAATATTCTCAGGTAACGCAGTAGAGTCAAAACAGTCAAAGTCGATTATTTGATTCTTTGAAAATTATAATAATGTTGGCCGGGATTTTTTGATTTAATTTAATTATTTAAAATTAACTCTGATGCCTTGGTAGGATTCCCCACCCGACCATTCACTGTTGGGTACTAATTAACAGTGCTGTTCCTAAAGTGGCGCTCAGAAACAGTAACAAAGCCTACACAGAACACGAGGCTAATGGCCGTAGCAGTTGATGCCGATAACAAAATAATAATAATAATAATAATAATGCCAA